CAAAAAAGTACTCCAGAGTGTTGTTCAGCATGGGGGTGAGTAGAAAATGAAGGCTAATCATGTTTTGGGTGTACTATTCCTTTAAAGCTGATCAACTTGACTGACCAATGGAGGACTGGGTAAAGATTCAGAACCAGAACCAGCTGCTGGTCTATCTGCTAGAGGACTGGTTTCCCTCCCAGGCCTCAGGTGATTAGGCCTAAAAGCTGTACAAACATTACATTTTAAAGGTCATAGTCAGAAGGAGTCAATGAACCTGAAAATGTTTGTGTTGTAAATAAGCCAATCAGAAGAGAGGATGCTCTGACCCTCCCTCTCGTCTTGTTTTCTTTTCTTCTTCTTGTAATAATTCTGCACCCTGAAGATGCACACCAAAGGAAGCTCCTGGTAAGATTACCCCACCCTTAACTTCCTGTCTTGTTCAGTCTATCCTCAGATCAGCTGAGCGTCTGAGTCACAGTTCTTCCCCAGACTGACTCCACTTTGAACGGCAGAGAGAAACTAATCATGTTTGTCTAACCGGTTCCAGCTGCTGCTCCTTCGAAGACTACAAGCTGACCACCGAATGGCTACTGAACCAGACCCGGCATCGACCCAAGGTGGCAGTTATCTGCGGGTCAGGACTCGGCTTATTGGCCGAAGGAGCCGCCGACAAGCAGACCTTCAGGTACCAGGACATCCCGAACTTCCCAGTCAGTACAGGTGAGTGAGTGACACCACCCAGTGGGGGGCATGTGGCGGTGCAGGCGTGACTTTAGGGCAGCAGCCGGAATCGGACTCAGAAAATCTGCCTCTTTCATGAAGTGTGTGACTATGTTCAAAGGCTCTAGTCCTTGACAGGGCCCTCATAGGTTTTAGTCCCGTCCAATGGTCCTTTTACTGCACGTCTTCCCCTCTCTCCTGCCAACCTACAGTCAGGGCCACCAGTGCCAACATTTTTTTTAAATGCAGCTCTTTCACAATAATTTTCAGTTTTATTCATCATTGGAAAAGAAAGATATTTGATGCAGAGTCAGGTCGATAAGCAGCACTTGGTAACGATGCCCTTGTCAAAACCCTGCTTATGTAACCTGAGAGGGTCGGATCTATCACCGAATGAGTCATATGACCCAGAGTGACAGTCTGAGATCTAGAACTAAGCTCTAGTTTTTAAGGGTAAAGTCAATACAGGAAAAATACAGTGTTATTGTGTCATCATGCAGGACAGTATCTAAACAAGCAGAACTTCAGTGCCATGGGTCAGGGTGTAGTGGACAGATCTCACCATGGTAACCAATGCATCTCTGTTCTCCAGTTCCAGGTCATGAAGGCTGTCTGGTCTTTGGGACGATCGAGGAGACACCCTGTGTCTTCATGAAGGGCCACTTTCACCTGTGTGAGGGTTACTCTCTGTGTCAGGTGGGTCCTCTTCACTCTACCCAGCATGCAGAGGGACAGGGACATTAGAGCGTTGGGGTGGAACATTCAGTACCATTCTTCATGCTCCCCAGGCATGAATGGCAGCCCACTGCTCCCAAAACGGATGGGTTAAATGCAGAGAGTTAATTTTGTTGCTCTGTACTTGTGACAATAAAAGCTGGAAAGAAAAGAAAGAAACATGCTGATTGGGTATCTGCCTCCCATGTCGAGTTTTTAGCCAATCACAGCAGCAGGAGCAGCAGCTGTGATGTATCACATTCTTTGTTTCACAACTGGTAGACTAAACCGATAAATCAAACCATTATCAAATCCGGTCGGGAGGAAGACAAAAACATCTTCCCATCCACAAAGGCAAAAATGGCATTCTTTTGCGTGTTTATCAAAAAGAAATAGAGGCGCAGCCATGTTTGTTTTGCTTCAGCCACTGCATTTCAATGGTCCGAATCATTTCTCTATCAAGGCTGATGGATCTGTTGGCTTCTGGCAAGATGTATTTGCTTGAGATTATGAATTCACAAACCTCTCGACAGTTCATCTTGCTTGCAAGATTCTTTTGGAATGCACTATTCAAAGAACAATACGTGAAACCCCTAAAATCACATAGAACAGAGAAGGAAAGTACCCCACACCCTGTCCTTCTGGATTGGAGGTGTAACTCGTATAAACTCTGGGTGCTATCACACAGAGACATTACTCCTGGTATTTAAAATGCTGTGAAGAAATGTTCAACCACCCAATATAGATGGGGTTGAAAGAGACAGGCTAAGAGATGTTGCAAAGGTGAACAAACCCGGACTCAAACCCCTGACAGCCGATCTAGGATTTATGGCCCTTTTAAACAGTATGATACAAGGTCTTTGCTCAAACTGTTGTTTTCAATGGTTTGGACCGCGCCAAGCCAGTTTATCTCTAGGCAAAGCAAAGTGCAAGCACAGTGCTCCTGTTGGCAAGGCAGTGCAGTGATATATACACACATAGCTGATAGAAATGGGTCAATCAAACAGATGTAGAGAACGAAGCAGAGACACAAAAGGCAACTATCAACCAGCTCCACAGTCGGCCCCGTCGTCCAGCTGCTCAAGTAGTAAAGCAGTTATGACCATCACACTACCACCAGCTTGCTTAATTGTGGGTTTTATTGTCTGGTTCTTAAGTAATGTTAGTTGAAATCCTGATCTAACAGAACACACACCTTCTCAAAAAGGTCTGTATTTTTCTGACCACGACGATAATTGTTGGGAAGTTCAATGCGAGTCTTTGTTCTTTTGGGTCAGTAATGGTTCTGGTCTTGGAACTCTCCCATGGTGTCTATCTCTGCCCAGTGTCTACGTTACGAGTCTTGAGGACTGAAGATGAAGACCTCCATTTTAAAAAAAATCTCAGAATCATTGAAGTGAAGTTCTATCCAATCTTCCCCTGCTGCTTTCTACAGTTAACCGTCTCCTATTTCGGATTTTTTTGTCCGAGTGAGGTTAATTTTTCTGTCCCCTTGTCTCAGGTCACTTTCCCTGTTAGAATCTTCAAGCTGATGGGTGTGGAGTTCATGCTGGTGACAAATGCCTCCGGAGGGATCTGCCCGGACTTTAAGGTTGGAGACATCATGATCATTAAAGACCACATCAACCTCCCTGGGTTTGCTGGACAGCACCCTCTGTGTGGACCCAATGATGAACGGTGAGACAAGGACACAAACCAGAACCAGTAGCACCTTCTTCCTCCTAAACCTGTCCTCTGTCCAGGTTTGGTACCAGGTTCCCTTGCATGTCAGATGCCTACAGCAAAGACCTGAGGACGCTGGCTCTGGATGTCGGCTCTGAGCTTGGCTGCAGCGACTTTATCAGAACAGGGGTATACTGTATGGTGAGCGGACCCAACTTTGAGACCATCGCTGAGGCCAGAGTGCTGCTGACACTGGGCTGTGACTCTGTGGGTAAGACAGGGACACTGTTAGAGGAAGAGTTAGAGGCTTTTTCTCCTCCCGGAGCAGTGTGTCGCAGTCAGCTGGTCACAGATATTATTGATTTAAGCCCAATTTTGAAGCGTGGTCTGTGCTATGTTATTCCACGCCACAACGCCAGAGGGACAATCATGAACTAGCTGTGGGCCAAGGAAGTGGGTATAAGTTTGTGTGACAAGGAGGAGATTCCAGGAAACAGGCAGTTACTCCAGGATAGCTGGACAGGGCCGTAGAAGGTCTACAATCCATCAGCAGGACCGGTATCTGCTCCTTTGTACAAGGAGGAGCAGGAGGAGCACTGCCAGAGCCCTACAAAATGACATCCAGCAGGCCACTGGTGTGAATGTCTCTGACCAAACAATCAGAAACAGACTTCACGAGGATGGCCTGAGGGCCCAACGTCCTCTAGTGGGCCCTGTGCTCACTGCCCGGCACCGTGGAGCTTGTTTGGCATTTGCGACAGAACACCGGAATTGGCAAGTCCGCCACTGGCGCCCTGTGCTTTTCACAGATGAGAGCAGGTTCCCCCTGAGCACATGTGACAGACCTGAAAGGGTCTGGAGAAGCCGTGGAGAACGTTATGCTGCCTGTAACATCGTTCAGCATGACCGGTTTGGTGGTGGGTCAGTGATGGTCTGGGGAGGTATATCTGTGGAGGGATGCACAGACCTATACAGGCTAGACAACGGCACCCTGACTGCCATTAGGTATCGGGATGAAATCCTTGCACCCATTGTAAGACCCTATGCTGGTGCAGTGGGTCCTGGGTTCCTCCTGGTGCACGACAATGCCCGGCCTCATGTGGCGAGAGTATGCAGGCAGTTCCTGGAGGATGAAGGAATTGATATCATTGATTGGCCCCCCACGCTCGCCTGACCTAAATCCAATAGAACACCTCTGGGCCAGGTTGCACCTCAGACTGTCCAGGAGCTCAGTGATGCCCTGGTCCAGATCTGGGAGGAGATACCCCACAACGCCATCCGTCGTCTCATTAGGAGCATGCCCCGACGTTGTCAGGCGTGCATACACGCACGTGGGGGCCATACAAATTACTGAATAGCATTTTGAGTTACTTCAATGAAATTTCAGCAAAATGGACTAGCCTACCACGTTTTTTATTTTTTGGATGTCTTTGAATTCAGCCCTCTGTAGGTTGATCATTTTCATTTCCATCAAATGATGTGGCATCCTTTTGTTCTTAACACATCACCCAGTCCATATCAGGATAAATAAGGCATGGTTTATGATTAGTGAATAGTAAAATTATATGATTTAACTTTCAGAAACCTTATGGGACCCCTGTTGAGCTTGTTAATGCACATTATAATAGGCTTTATTAATAATATTCTACACATATGACGAGTTTGCTTTGGTGATGAGACACATTGTAAAGTACTTTCAGAAGTTTGTATTCTGAATATGACCGTACTTTTCCTTTAAATATTGGTGGACAACATAAAAAAATTGGAAAAAGTTTCCAATCGGTATGAAAGGTCAGTTCTGGGATGTTTGTGGTCAACTGTCTCATTATGTGCTGATGCTTTCTGTAGGTATGAGCATGGTTCCTGAGGTGACTGTGGCCAAACACTGTGGACTTAAAGTTCTGGGTCTGACCCTCGTCACCAACAAGGTCTCTGAACTGTCTAGAGTTGCTCTGTGTACCTGACTAAGACCTGTTTTAACTGGTTTATCGGTCGTTCGGCAGGTGTCTCTGGACTACAGCCGCGAAGAGAAGGTGAACCACGATGAGGTTCTAGAGATCTGCAAGATGAGGGCGGAGCTTCTTCAGAAACTCGTCACTACATTGATTGGACGCTGTCAGCAGAACATCAACAGGCAATGACTCACAACTGAGACCCGGACATGCATCTAAGACATGGACATCTGAGACATGGACTGGACTTTGAGACCCACCAAAGACATGGATCTAAGACCAGGAAGGAAACCTGAGAAATGAAATCTTAATGTCCACAAATCATGACAGAAAGAATATTTTAGATTAAAAAGGAATTGTAGGGGACTAGCCAAGGACCAGCAAAGGCCCAAGGAAAGTGAAAGGCTACTACTGTATATATAGTGACTGATAGATTTGGGGTTAGGGCGGACATTTGGACACAGCCACAGACATCTAAGACTTGGACATCTTACACTGACTCAAACCTATGACTCGGATATCAGAGACTGACTCAAACCCCAGATAAGGGCTCAAACCTGAGACCTGGACTCACAACTGAAACATTAACATTTAGAACTCTGACTCACTTGGAAACATAGCCATATGGGACTCATGACTTAAACCAAAGACTCTGACTTACTCCTGAAAAATGAACAACTGAGACCCGGACTCTGGAGGCACTCTGTGGGGTGCTGTTGTTTTACATGTTTCTCTCGAGTTTCTGTTCCTAATAAAAACGAGCAACCTTCTTTGATGTCCAAATGTGTCTTTTCTAGATTTTTCAGTAATATGTTCAGGTTATGTTGATGATGTGGTTCTGTTGGCTTCATCAGGGCGTGATCTAAAGCGTTCACTGGAGCGGTTAGCAACAGAGTGTGAAGCGGACGGGATGAGGATCTGGGCTCTCCCTTAGAGATAGGGAGAGGAGCTCAGTCATCTGGGGAGGACTCAAGGGTAGAGCTGCTGCTCCTCCACATCGAGAGGAGCCAGTTGAGGTGGCTCGGGCATCTGATTACGATGCCTCCTGGACTTCTCCCTGGCAAGGTGTTTCGGGTATGTCCCACCGGGAGGAGGCCCACGCTGGAGGGACTATGTTTCTCAGCTGGCGAGGGAGCGCCTTGGGATTCGACCGGAGAAGCTTGTCTAAATCGCTGGAGAGATGGACGTCTGGGTCTCCCTATTGAAGCTGCTACCCCCGATGTTCAAATTATGGATTGGGTTTCAGATAAATTCTGTTAATTTGAAGTCAAAAGCAGAGAATGGTGTTGAGCATGAGAGGCAGGAGACAGTTTCATCCGAAGAGACGGGAGACTATACTCATAGGGCCAGGATCAGCTGGTCCTGGTTGTTGAGTTTAGCCATTTGTTCTGCTGTGTGCATCGCCATGGTGTGAGACATGTTAACCACACTGATTCAGAGGTTTCTGAGTGTATTAATCAAACATTTGACAGAGAAGAAAAATCAAAACATTTCCTTTATTCTTTTCTCACAAAACATCTGTGTTCAATTTGAGCATGTGTAGACTGTACCATGAGGTCCAAGCTTGTTTCTATCTGCCGATCAAACAATCATTAAGGAAAACAATCATATCCATGGATGTCAGCAGAGGGCGGGGCCTCTGCACACTGTGATCTGAGTGGTTGACACGGTCCAATGAGTTAGCAGCATTTCCTACGACCCCTTAGTGCTTCTGATCATCGTCTCCAACATCTTCCACTGATCGTCCGTCACCTAGAATATGGGTAATGGAGAGAAGATGTACTCAGAGCTCTGAGGAACCAGTAGGTAAGACAGGCGAGCGGCCAGCTGATCATCTACGCTCACCTTACGGAGCTCGTTAAACTCTCCTGCCATCGATACGTACTCTCCTCCATCGAAACGGATCACCTGAGAACAGGAACGGTTAGTTTAACGAGTCGCATGACTGAAACAGGTCACATGACTTTAAGTGATCAGTCAACCTGCTGAATTAGACTTCAGTTTTTCTTCTTGATATATACAAGAAGAATAGATTCGGTCATATAAGCCGAGCAGGTCACCTATGCGGTCAAACAACTGCCAATAGGAAACGTATGCATAGTTGTCAGAATTTATAAATATTAGTCGAAATATGTAAATCATTTTAGCTTTGGTTTTAGTTTCTTATAGTTAACAGCTACATGCATGTGATGTCGGATACTCCATCTGTATGAATAGGAGTTTAAAAGCCAAAATCTGCAAAAATAAAAGTATATATCTATAATTCAAAAAAGTAAAAAAACCCAATCCACTGGACTTTGTTTCCAAGTTTTACGACGGTTCTCTTCCCATCCAGAAGGCTTTTTTCAATTCAAAATATCAGAAATAGCTTTGAGTTCCAGGTTTTATAGAGTCGACCAAAAACAAAGGCTTGTTATGGCTTAAAAAACATGCAAGTTGAACCGGACGAACGGCTCCGCCCCTTTGGAATGGGGGTCGTTTGGTAGCCTCGTGAGACCATCCTGATCTCGCCAGCTTTCAAGGTTTCACTCACAGATCAGCCTGGAGACTCTCCGTTAAAGAAAAATTGGAGCCGTTCACCAAACGAACGTCCAATCAGCGTTGGCTTTGAGGCGGGTTGAGGTGTGACGCAACGAGAAGCGCGACAGTTCAGTCTAAAGAACATGGCGGCTTCAGCCGATGAAACTAGCGTTAGCGTGGCTATCGAGCAAGTTTTATCGGAATTACAGAGTATTTCTTCACTGAAAGAAGAGCAAAACACTGCTCTGGAGGCTTTTCTCAGAGGAAAAGATGTTTTTGCTCTTCTCCCGACTGGTTTCGGCAAGAGTTTGATCTATCAATTGGCTCCTCTTCGTCGTCGCTCTGTTAGTACGTCATATGCTTCGTTGATCTGATTGGTTTATTTGGCCCGTCTATCACCAACATAGGCCAATCAGCTAACCAGGATTTTCGCCCCTTCATCAAAATTACTTCTACGGAAGGTTTCCAGATGGATTTGCTCTGCATATCCATCTGGCGGAGTCAGGTTAGTCGTTTGGTTTCTCTGTTAGCCTGTAATACCCCATACCTGTCTATGTCCTTTTTTCTTTTTTTTTTTTACATTTTTTGGAGTGACTATGACCTGGATGACTGGGAATCTTCACCAATATAAATCTACAACCCCTCCTGAAGCCATAATGGTGCGTTGAGAGGTCATTTTAGTTCAGCAATTTGAACTTTTGCAGCTGGATGCCAGAGCGTCAGCCAAATAGAAAACGCTCGTTCCAGGAGGTTTTTTGGTGGACAGATACTACCTAACCTGACAACAGCCAGATGCATGTCTCGCTCCGCCCAGCTAGGCGGAGTGAAACATGCATCTGGCTGTTGTCAGGTTAGATACTACCTGCAAGCTGTCAACATTTCTGCAGAAATTCTGCACATGAAAAATAAATACAAAGGGGTTAAACTAGAAAAGGAAAAGAAAACAGCGAAAACAACATTGAAACAGTTTATAAATACCTAAATTAACTAAAAAATTTTAAAATATGCCAACAAAAAATATTCGACTCTATATCAGGGTTTATACATGAATGAGTAACTCTTATTTAATGCTTTTAATGCTCTTAGAAATAATCTTAATGCCATAAAAAAATACCCATGACTTTTTCCCGCCACTTTGGTTCAAATTAGCATTTTCCTACATTCTTTAGCCTTTTCTCCGCCTCAAGCTTCTTTTCCGAAGCATTTTAATGCCACGTTTATCAAATTTAATGAATTTTAATGCCAATTAAGGCCTTAATTTAAAAAATAATAATTTAATGACTTTTAATGATTTTTAATGAGCCGCAGAAACCCTGTATATTCTTGTACATGAAGTTTTTAACCACAAACATTTTTCAAACAAGTAAAAACTCTTTCTATTCACTTCCAACCGCTACGAACGGCAGCAGGAAATCCCCGAAAGGATGGCCGTAACACAGAGCTTTCAGCGGGGATTTCCAGCGCTGCCTCCCAGTGTTCTGTCCAATCAGCATACTCAGACAGTACGCATGTGCAGGACGTCAGATTTGTGTTTATCCCTTTAGCTTTGTATGAAAAATAGATTTTAAACTTACGGAAGAGGATTAGGGCCACTGAAAAAAAAAAAAAAGTTAACTGATTTTTACATTTTATTTCAGTTTAACGTGGGGAAAAAAGTCAGAATTCTGACTTTTTCCTCAGAATTATGACTTTAATCTCAGAATTATGACTTTTTTATTGTCAGAATTCAGTCAGAATTCTGAGAAAAAAGTCAGAATTCTCATAATTCTGAGGAAAAAGTCAGAATTCTGACCTTTTCATCAGAATCATGACTTTAATCTCAGAATTATGACTTTTTTTATTGTCAGAATTCAGTCAGAATTCTGAGAAAAAAGTCAGAATTCTCATAATTCTGAGGAAAAAGTCAGAATTCTGACCTTTTCATCAGAATCATGACTTTAATCTCAGAATTATGACTTTTTTTATTGTCAGAATTCAGTCAGAATTCTGAGAAAAAAGTCAGAATTCTCATAATTCTGAG